GAGAGAGAGAGATGGATGATCGCGAGCTTTCATTCGCGGGAGGATCGATCGATCCTCACCTCTCGATCGCAACTCTCCATGACTTTTACCTCTAATTGCGGAGTCACCTCGCCCAGAGACTTTTCGCAAGCAAAAAGATCTTTGCCACACGCAAAGGTCATCATACTCAAAGAATAGTTATCCTCATCATAGGCTTAAGTGAATTTCATAGATATTAGTATTTGGCCTCTCTCTCTCTCTCTCTCTCTCTCTCTTTCTCTCTCTCTTTCTCTCTCTATTTCCATTTAAACGAGTTAGAACGAGGATTATTGTTGGGATAGTAAACGACTTTAAATCGAATATTGTTAATTTTACGATACGATACGATCGTAAAGAGATAAAGAAGAAGAAGAAGAAGAAGAAGAAGAAAAAGAAGAGGGGAAAAAAATGAAAAAAAAAAGAAAATAATAAAAAAAGAAAAAGGAAAATGCCGTCGGGAATGGGAATAAATTCTATTTGGTATTTCGTTAGGAGTCACCCGGTATGCATAGGATCCGTGGATACCACCGCCAGAGAGAGAGGAGACATTAATATTAAGCGTCCCCAGTCGACCGGCAGAAAGATCGCCGATAAGATTTTTATAGTGCGGCCGGGTGGCAGCGCGTTCTCGTGCATTGCCAAATCACGCGTTCTCCACCTTGTCGCGCGAAGCTCCGTTAAACTACATACGATTTTCTATATCGATTCTTTATTACTAATTTCTAATCTCATTAAATTTCTTTATTTCTTTCTATCGTACGAAGAATAAAAGAAAGAAAAAATGAAGAAAAGAAAAAAAGAAAAAAAAAAAAAATAAGAAGAAAAAAAAACCAAATGAAACGCAGTCAAGTTGCGTTATCTACTTTAAAATCTTTCTCTCCTTTTAAAACTATAATAATACGACGAGTAGTCAGTAATTTAGATCTAAAGAAATTATCGAAAGATCGAAAAGCGCGTAGATCGACAATGGAAATATGAAGCGCGAATTTTTTTTTCTTTTTTTTTTTTTTTTTTTTTTTCTTTTTTTTTTTTTTATTTCAAACGATCTAATTATATTCCTCCTTGACGATATAGTTTCAGAAAAATTTTTATAAATTCGATTGAAATGACATAGAATAATTTCGTTAAATCTCATTGTGAATTTCTCTCTATCTTCCTCTCTCTATCTCTCTCTCTCTCTCTCTCTCTCTCTCTCTCTTTCTCCGTCTCTCTGTCCCTATTTATAGTTTTAGACGCGTACATCGTCATGCTCTTAACGATCTAGTTCCGTTTGTATTTCCATAAAAATCGATGACTTGACCGGTTAGAACATTTCGCAGTGTTCCCTATTATTTGTGTGTGTGTGTGTGTGTGTCTGTGTGTGAGTGCGTGCTTTTTTTCTTCTTTCTTCTTCCCCCGATGAGAGAAGAAGAAATATGCCGAGAGGTTTGAGAAGAAGGTGGGTCGTGGGTTGGGGTGGGATGGGACGGATTCAGCGGACAATGCAAGAATTCTCTCTCTCTCTCTCTCTCTCTCTTTCTACAGAGGCCTGGAGCTCTCCTCCTCCTCCTCCTCCTCCTCCTCCTCCTCCTTCTTTTTCTTCTCCTCCTCCTCTACCTCCTCCCTTAAGGATCGAAAGTTCACTGGCATTGGGATTATCGTGAGGGGCCAACGATACGTGCGAATCACGTCGCGAGTCACGGCCCCCTTTCGTGACCGAGCCTCGTGAATGCCGATGCCCGTAATCGTGTATACATACGTATACATATATGTAAGATATCTATGTAAAGTATGTACGTATCTATGTATGTATATATGTATGTATACGTAGATACGTACGTACGTACGTACGTACGTAAATAAGTATGTATGTATGTATAAGTACGTATAGATCGCCAAAGGAAAAGAAGAAAGGAGGAGGAGGAGGAGGAGGAGGGGGAGGGCAGGAGAAGAAGAATCGATTCTCGAAGATCGAAGAGTCTGCACAAAGACGCCCGGTAGCGATTCTTATTCTTATTGATTAGCTTGCCGTTATGTTTTCCTCTGTGATCCTCCGACGTAATCTCTTGCGGGGAAAAAAAAGGAAAGAAAAGGCAAAAAAGAAAAAAGAAAAAGAAAAAGAAGAAGGAAACGAAGGAGAAAAAGGAGCGACGCTCCTTAGAAAGTACTTTTTCTTTTTTTTTTTTTTTTCCATAACGAGGACGATGATGATTTCGTCGGGATGATAATTAAAAAGTATGATTCTGAAGTGTACGAAAGAATATTTGTAGGATTTTCTTTCTCTTTTTCTATATCTCATCATTTTGTTTTCTCTTTTATTATTATTATTATTATTATTATATATTATTATTATTATTATTATACCTTCAGGTAAATTCAATGAAGCCAATAAGTCTCTGTAATTTAACAATGAACGGGTTAATAATAAGATTAATAACACACATATATACACACGCATTATATAAAATTACGTGTATATATATATATATATATATATATATATATATGTATGTATGTATGTATGTATGTATGTATGTATGTATGTATGTATGTATGTATGTATGTATGTATGTATGTATGTATGTATGTATGTATGCGTGTGTAAGAGTATAAGATATTCTTCACAAGGAATATTATCCCCCAAAGTGCATTTCCAAGAAAGTTCTCCTTGGTCCCTTTCGAGAATAAGAGTAACTTCTTGGAATCTTCCGGCCATATTCCCTTTCTTGATAAGTAGAGCCTAGTTTCTCGGTTTCGCGGCGAGATTCATCGTGAAAGAAGTGTCCTACGTGGCGAGTAACTTTTAATTCGTCCGGTAACTTTCTGCGAGACGGCTAAACTCGACACGCGAGAGATGATGGGCACGGCGTTGGCGTCGACTGTACGACGGTGTACAGCTTGTTTAGCTGTTTTGGGAGGAGGGTTGAAGTGTTGGGAGGAGTGGGGAGGGGGGGGGGGCAGGCGGAGGAGGAGGAGGAGGAGGGAGAAGCAAGGATCCTCGGTGAGATAAATAAGATAATGGAGAACGAAACAAGAACAAAAAAAAAAAAGAAAAAAAAAGAGAGAGAGAGAGAGAGAGAGAGAGAGAGAGAAGACAAGTGATGACCTCTCTTCTAGAAAACGGGCGATAATTTTTAATCAGCACGTCGTACCTTAACGTTGAAACTTGCAATTTTATGCTTTTATCCGGAACTGTAAAGGTCTTGTCCTTTTTACGACATAATTATTGAAACTTCGTTCGTAGAAACGATTACTAAATAATACATTCCAAGAAATCAAGTAGAATAAGAATTCCTGAAGTCTCGTTGAGATCATTTCTTATCGTTCGAAGTTCATAAATATTTTTTCTCACCTTTCTTCCCTATTCTTTTTTTCTTTTCTTCTTTTTCTTTTTTCTTATTTTTTTCTTTTTTCTTTTTCGACTTTATTTATACCTCCTTTTCTGTTCTTTTCTCTCCTTCTTCTTCTTAAATTATCAATCGTTGAATGAAAGAAATAAATAAAAAAAAAAAAAAAAAGAAAAAAAAAAAGAGAGAGAGAGAGAGAGAGAGAGAGAGAGAAAGAAAAATTACATAAGAGACGAATAATCATTATGAAGGAAATCATTGAGTTTTTTTTGAAAACGAATACAAACGAAACAAATGAGATTCTTTCATTTCTTCCAATTCTCTGGATAAAAATCAGACCTTCCTCCTCCTCCTCCCCCTCCTCTCCTCTCTCTCTCTCTTTTTTATTAAGAAAGAGAAAGAGAGAGAATGTAGAAAAAGAGAGGCAAAGATATACGACAAAAGGATCCTGCTTTTCGGTAGGCGGCACGTCGCCTCAATCGGTCGAAGGATTTTGGATAGGCGAAAGGTACGCTCGCGCCTCTGAAAGAAAGAGAGAAAGAGAGAAAGAAAGAGAAATAAAGAAGGAATGAGAGAGAGAGAGAGAGAGAGAGAGAGAGAAAGAAACGAAGAAAGAGAAGAGACAGCCCTATATATGGCGTGGGTGAGGGAGCCAGGTAGGTATACGTGTTTGCGTATAAAGTGGAATACACCAAAGAAGACTGAAGATGGTTATGGTGGTGTAGCGTACGGTGGTGGTTGTGATGGTGTGGGGTGGCGCATTCCAAGGCTCATTCAGACGGCCATGCTCCCCCGTTGTCAGACATGCTCACAGACAGACTGGCAGACGGCCGGACGAACCTTTTCTCAATCAGGCCAATGCATTTTAAGTTAATTGTACCAGGCGTTTCTTTCTCTCTCTCTCTCTCTCTCTCTCTCTCTCTTTCTCTTTCTCTCTTTCTCTCTCTCTCTCTCTCTTTTTCTCTTTCTCTCTCGTGCACACATACAGAAAAAGAGAGAGAGAGAGAGAGAGAGTGGGAGAAACGTTTATTCCACGCACTCGTCTCGTTAAGAAACGTCCACCCATCGTGAAGTGCCGCTGAACGAAAGAGAGAAAGAGAGAGAGAGAGAGAGAGAAAGAGAGAAAAGGGAAAAAGAGAAAGAGAAAGAGAAAGAGAGAAAAGAAAAACATCTTGGTACTCTTCGAAAAAGACTCGTTACCAGTTTAAGTGCAAAGTGAGACTCCGTGTTTCTTTCTTTATTTCTTTCTTTCTTTCTTTCTTTCTTTCTTTCTTTCTTTCTTTCTTTCTTTCTCTCTTTCTTTCTTTCTCTTTCTCTCTTTCTCTTCTCTTTTCTTTCCGTATCTTACAAACGCGTTCGTCAAATATCTCGTTAATATGTCTATTATTTTTTCTTCTTTTTTTTCCTTTTTTTCTTTTTTTGTTTTAATATAAAGAAGAAAATAAAGGAGAAAAATTAGATCTAATAATTTCCAATATTATAGTTACGAAATGATTAAATATCTTTCTTCTTCTCCTTTTTATCTTCTATCTTTATCACATTATTTGACGTTGAACGTAGAATATAATTTTTGATATCGTACAATGGTACATTTATGTCCACGTGAAAGATAATAAAAAAACATTTGATTTTTAACGTCATATTATAACGAATTAGGGTGTACCGGGAGAAAGAGACTGGCAGATTCTTATTCGCATAGTTCTAATATCTCAAAGGACGGAATAGTCCTTAAAGGGAAGGAACCTTGACAGGCAAGCTGCCAGGCAGCCAGGACGAAGACGACGCTTGTCGGTGATGACGCGACACTACCGGAGTTAAGTGGCGAAACGCGCGGATGGCCAAAAGTAAAAAAGAAAAGAAAAAGAAAAAAATGAAGAAGAAGTCCAATGAAAAAAAAAAACCGACTCGAAACCGAAGCGAAGCGAAGCGGCTAAAACAAAAGAGGTGCGGAGGTGTGACGAAACGCCGAGATCGGAGGAAGAGGAGGAGGAGGAGGAGGACCGACCCCTCCGATCTACACCTTTCTCTTTCTCTCGATTCATTCCCTATCCTTCTCCCTTACCCTCTCCCTATTCTTTTTAGCCTTTAGCTTACGGATCTTTCAAAAAAAAGTTCATTCTTCACGAGCCACCTTGTGTATCGCCTCTTCCTCCTCCTCCTCCTCCTCCTCCTCCTTCTCCTCCTGTACCCTTCCTCACCCTTCGACGCCCGCTCGCCAACCGATTCTTTCGTTCGATTCAATTTCTATATATCTGCTTTATCGATCTTCATGAAAAAAAAAAAAAAAAAAAAAAAGAAAAGAAATGTAATTATACATATATATGTATACATATATAAAAATATCTCATATGAAGAAGGAAATAAATTATATATATATATATATATAAAAGAAAGGGGAAAGAAAAGAAAAGTAAAAAAAAATGGCAAGAAGGGAAAGCGTGTCAAATTTATTAATACCGACTTATATTCCAAAATTGATTCTAGAATTTATATCTGGATGAATAATTATTCATTTAAAAAAAAAAAAATCATGTCCTGTGACGCGAAGTTTTGTAAATGTAAATATGACAAGAAAAAAAAAAAGAAAAAGAAAAGAAAGAAAGAAAAAAAAAAGAAAAATAAATAAACAAATAAAATACAGACACATTCAATTTATTTTATGGAATATTGCCTTCATATCTTTACGTGAGTGGTGCAATGTGCGGCAGATAGAGAGAGAGAGAGAAAAAAAAGAAGAAGAAGAAAAAAAGAAAAAAGAAAAGAGAAAAAAAAAAGAGAAAAACAAAAAGAAAAAGTGATACATTAAATTCATTCATTTCGACTTATTGAATTCAATGTTTAATATTAAATTTATTTCTTCAATATTTTCATTATATTTTTTCTTTCTTCTTCATATGTATTGTGAACAAACAAAAAAAAAATATATATATATATATATATATATATATATACATATATTTATATTAATAAATTAATAATGAGTCGATTTAATAAATAAAACGAATATCTTGGTTATCGAATTTCTTCTTTCTTTCTTTTTCCTTTTTTTTTCTTTTTTCTTTTTTCTTCTTTTCTCTTCTCTTCGTTTGCACGATTTCGGTGTGGATGATTAGACATGTGTGTACACGTTGGTCGAGATAAAAATTATTTTTCGCCCTTGATTGAGATCTCTTGGGAAATGATGCGCGCTCGTTCGCATTCGTTCATGGTATATATATATATATATTAAACCGTGTGGTTCACGATACGAGTTTCTTGCCCTATGAAATATCAATGGCTTATTACTAATGTAATCTTCCGCTCAATGCTCGATGATTGCCCGACAGGATGGAACCCCTTCTTACTCGATCTAGTATATCTATGAACTTTTCACGATCTATATATATATATATATATATATATATATATATACATCTGTATATATATATATATATATATATGCATATGTATATATATATATGTACTTATATGTGTACATGACTACTTATTAGATGGAAGCTCGATGTAGACTAACAACAGAACTTTGATTTTCTTTCGTAAATTTTTAATAAAGAAAAATTATGATCGATTTTTATTATCTTCCATTGGATTATCAATTCATCCAATATAATACATATTACTGATATATCATTATCATCGTCATCATCGTTATTATTATTATATGAATGTAGTTTAAATCACAAGTAGTTGTGGTTTTGTCTCGATGGAAAGGAAGAAAATGATAATAGAAAATACGAATAAAAATGAGAAGGATTGTGGATTCTTCGTTAAAGAGAAAGAAGAAATATACGAGTAAGAAAATAAAAAGAAAAAATGAGAAAAAAGAAAAGACAAAAGGCAAAGAGAAAGAAAGAGAGAGAGAGAGAGAGATCCGTTATAAATCCGAGAAAGATCATGGGGCACGTGCAGACTTGCATGCCAGGCAACCATTTTTAAAAGTCCGTCGGGAGAAATAAAAAGGACTTCCCCATCGAAATGAGGACAATCGCGAGCATGCGTATCCTTTTGCTAATCTTCATCGTCCTATGTAAAACCAATAAGTAACATAATCTAAAAAAATTATAAATCCAAGTTTCGTTATATCTCTCGTTCATTGGATTATCGTCCTTTCGATATAAAACGTTTAATTTCGTATGAAGCCATTGTACGTTTCCTTATCTTTTCTTTCTTTCTTTATATTTCAAACGTGTTAATTAAATATTATTATTACTCGAAAGACCTCTACGACATTAAATACAGCCTCTTATTTTTTATCTTTTTTCTTAATTTTTCTTTTTTTTTTTTCTTTTTTTTAATTTTCTCTCTCCCCTTTCTTTGATTTCTTTCTTTTTCCTTCTTCTTCCTTTTTGTTTTTCTTTTTTTTTTCTTTCTCTTTTTCTTTTTTCTTCTTTCGTTTTTTTTTTCTTTTTTCTTTTTCGACAAGAGAAACTCGCAGAGTCACTAAAAACCGTGTACTATATACCGTGAATAAGTAATACCGCGTATATTTATTGAACGATATACAGAGAAAGAGATTCCGATGACTCGAGGATTCTCCGTTGAGGATCAAAAAATTTCATAAAAGCTGTTCCATTGGAATCGTGGTACGAGGGGGTAGGTAACTGGAAGAAAGAGAAAGAGAAAGAGAAGAACGAGAGCGAGAGCGAGAGCGAGAGTGAGAGAGAGAGAGAGAGAGAGAAAGAGAAAGAGAGAGGAAGAGGAAGAAGACCTCGATACGAACTAATTTCACATTCGTCCTCCTACCCGTCTGATGAGAAAGAAAGAAAAAGAAGGAGAAACAGAGAGAGAGAGAGATAGATAGAGAGAAAGAGAGTGAGAGAAAGAGAGAGAACGTAGGCCATACTCTCGTTTCTTCTTCTTCGAAGAAAAATCTCATTTTCTTCGCCCTAAGGGCTTCGGTAGCAAGGAAGAAAACGCCAGCCAGCCAGTCAGCTAGCTAGCTAGCTACCTATATGTATATATATATATATGTCCTTATACATATCCACACACTTATACATAGACACATACATGAGACTTCTCTTGCGAGGCCGGCCAATATTTGCCTAAGGAAATTCAGAAAAGTTTACACACGACTCCTCCTCTTCCTTCTCTTCCTCCTTCACCTCCACCTCTACTCTCTTCATCCTCCGTCTCTTCCTCCTTCTCCTTCATCTCCTCCACCACGGAGTCGAGCCAGCTTCTTTCCAGTCCGGGGATTTCTTCGGTCAATTTTCTTCAAACCTTCCCTTTACTTTTCCCCCTCTTTCTCCTCTCTCTCTCTCTCTCTCTCTCTCTCTCTCTCTCTATCTTTCTTGCGAAGCGAGCTTTAATAATATCTCCAGCACGCTTCCACGTTACGTGTGTGCAGGTATCATAGAGGAAGACGAGATCAAATCTTCGGAGTATTTTCTTACGTTAGGTAAAACACGTATGTTTTTATAACCCGTCGAAGAAAATCTAAAATATGCTTTCATGAACACACACACATATATATATATGTGTGTGTGTGTGTGTGTGTGTATGTTTAGTTATTACCTTGTACTCATATTAATTTCACTAGCCATTTATTCACTAGATTATTAATATTTTTAAATGTTTAGAAATTCGCTTTTAATTTTAAAAGGAAAAGAAAAGAAAAATGATAATAAACTAAAAAAGAAAAATAGCTAGTCAAATAAAATAACACAAAAAAAAACAAAATAGAGAGAGAGAGAGAGAGAGAGAGAGAGAGAAAAGGAGAGGAAGAAAATAAATAACGTGAGAACGAAGAAAATGTGTTAGTCCGAAATGATTTCGATGGGAGCTCGTAAAGAAGTTTTTAAGCAGAGTGGTCCTTTTATTGTTTCGAAAAAGGATACGAAGGATTCAGAGGACGAAGAGGAAGAAGAAAAAGGAAAATAAAGAGAATGACGAGAAAAAGGAGAAGGAGGAGAAGGAGAAGAAGAAGGAGGAGGAGGAGGAGGAGGAGAAGGAAGTTTGTCTCGGCTCTCGTAGGTGGAAGGAAGCAGAATTTGAATACGATCGATTTCCAATAAATAAGGATTCTCGTGATAATGGCGGCTGTTCCTTCCAATGTGGAAAAGAAGGATTGGTAGAAGGCTGAGGACGTGGAATGGTGGAAAAGAAGGATGGGTGGGTGGTTGGGTGAGTGAGTGAGTGAGTGAGTTGAGGTGGGTTGAGAATGAAGGAAGGGGCGGGGGGGGAGGTAGGGTGGACAGGAGTGGTAGAGAGCTTCCTATCTGCAAGAGATAACGAGACAGCTCTTCACGTTACCGTAGTTTGAGTTCGGGCTTCGTTAGAACGACTCCTAAGTTCCCACTCACGACGAATTTTTCGATCTTTCTTCTCGCTTTTTTTTTCCTTTTTTTCTTTTCTTTTACTTAAAAAAATTGTCCAAAAAATAATTCTCATCGTAACCTCCTAACCCCCTAAGACCCCCGCCCCCCATCGCCCTCTCGCTTGGTCTTCCATCGTTCATTTTTCATTGCCAGCAAATTCTTAACAATGGATGTTCCTTTGCACATTTTTATAAATTAAAATGTTCATTCACCGTTCGTAATCTCTGACAAGAATAAAACGTCGTCTCGTATCACGTCTATCTATCTCGCGTTTTCGTACGAATTAAAAAGAAAAATATATTTGTTAGACGTTGAAAGAATTCCTCCATGTTTCTACCATTTGATCAATGGATATATGGATATGTAAATATATATGTATATATATATATATACATATATATGATCAAAAATTTTGATAAATATAATATTATATATATTATGCGTCCGAAGAAATGAGTCGGACCTGCTGTTTGCAGCTGTTCCATTCGACGTGTCCAGAGAAAGGTGACCGGTCGAAAAATATGGAACGTGTCAGTAAATAAGTACGTATAATAGGAGTGAACGAGAGAGATGAATACGTATTAACGAAAGAGTAAAAAGAGAGAGAGAGAGAGAGAGAGAGAGAGAGAACAATATCTTAAGCATATTATTAAATGCAACATATTATATAAGGGATGACATAACAAAATAATAAATTGAGTAATATTATAAATAAAATCGAACGATTGAAGAGAGAAAGAGAAAGAGTGATAAAAAGAGAGAGAGAGAGAGAGAGAGAGAGAGAGAGAGAGGGACGAATTTACGAGGGAAATTTAAGAATTTCGAACGGCACGTACCGCCGGTACCTCTCCTCCTCTTCCTCCTCCTCTCTTTTTTCCCTCATTGTAGTCGTTGTCGTCGACCACAACGACGACGAATCGCGAATCCTC